CCCAAGGGCCAGAACTGTCTGTCCACTGGGGTGCAGGCAACCCCATCACGTGGTTCACATGGGTGACCCCTCGAGTCAGCTTCACGGGGACTGCAGCAGAATGGGATTTCAGCTGAGCTCCCAACCAGGCTGGGAAGGAGTAGAAGTTGGCCCTCTCTGGAAATAGATCTGTAGTTCATTTCGTTTGTAAGATCACTTCTTCCAGGAGAGGAAAGAGACAAGCACCCCAAGGAGGTCATGCTTTGACCCCGCCCCCAGCCTCAGCCACCCAGGATCCCAATGTGCACAGGGAGGCCTTTGGGAAGCACATCCCAGATCTGCCACGTGGCACCAACATGGCGGAGCACCACATTACCGCTGCACCTCTGTGGCCGGCCCCAGCTGGGAAGCTCCTGTTTATCCATGATGGAGTGCATGCATGTGACCGTCACCATGACCTGAGTGGAGAGGAGCACCCTCCACAGGGTCTGGCTGTGCCATGACCCGCTCCCCCAGCCCCCACTGGGTCTTGGGCACTCTAGCACTTGCCCGGTATGTTTCAGGCTGACCAGGCCAGAGATTCCAACCGTGGGCACCATGTGGGATCCAGCTGCTGCTGCTGCTTTTTTTTTTTTTTTTTGAGAGTTTTTTGCTATAGGGCGCGTGCGCTCGCCAGACAGACAGAGAGAGACAGAGAGACAAAAGTGAGAAATCACCCCCCAGGGGGGATGGTCACGCCGCAATCCCTTCTCCTCCATTCTCCCCTCGGGATCTTGGGAACGCACACACATGCGCCCGGCGTGAGTTCTAAGCCACTGGGTCAGGGACGCAAAACACGGTCGACTACGTGGGAGTCCAGCGACATAGCCATTACGCTAACTGCTGGTTCCCAGCTTCTTTTTTTTTTCAGAGAGAGATTTTTGCTATAGGATTTGGACACTTGCTGGAGAAACAGAGACAAAAAGCGAGAAATCACCCTCCGAGGGGGATGGCCACACTGCAATCCCTTTTTCATCCTCTCAGGATTTTGGGCACACACACATACATGTCTGGTGCCAGGTCTAGGCCCCAAACTGTAGTCAGCTACATGGTAGTCCAGCAACATAACCATTATGCCATCTGCTGCCCCCTTCCCCCCCTTCTCTTGAACATTATTATCCCAGAGCCAGCCTGATGAGGAGTTCTACATCTTTTCAGGATCGTGGATTCGTTTGGAAGCACAAACACACTGTGGACTTTCTCCCTAGACAAATGTATGCACACATAGACTCCATACAGTTCGGAGTTTAATGAATGTCAGAAGTCCATCCTCAGTCCCTGAGCTTGTAAGAACCTCCTTTAGGGCCGGCAGATGGTGGAGGTTAATTAAGGCAGCTGGATCCCATATGGCCAGCTGTGCAGGTCAGCTCCCAGACCCTGTGGCTCGAAAGTTACACTGGGCACATGCAGCATGTTTGCCAAAAATCCCAGGAAGAGAAAGGAGAATGGATTGCTGTGTGGCCACCCCCTGGGGGTACTTTCTTTTCCTCTGCAAGTGCACGCACCCTATAGCAAAACTAAACAAATCCCAGCTTGGTTGTCACCAACCCCACAACCTGTAAACATCCTAACCTCCAACCCACTCTCAGGAGCTTCTACATTGGGCGCCCCACCCCCTCCTTTCTGCAGCTACCCCTGGCTGGGGCTGGCCCTGCAGGATGAGCAGTGAGCCCGTCCCCTCAGCGCTGCACTGTGCCAAAGCCCAGGACAGCAGCTGGGTTCCAAGTCCTTAGGACGGGCCTCTTATTTCTGCCTACCTGCATGTTTCCTGGGAAGCAGCGAGAGGGCAGGGGCCTTCAGCTGAGCCCACACCCACTTAGCACATCTGCCTTCACGAGTGAGGAGAGGGCGAGGGGAGGCTGAGTGGTCCCATCTCTTCTTTTATTTTTATTTTTTTATTTTTTGAGAGGTTTTTGCTATAGAGCGCATGCATGCTCGCCAGACAGAGAGAGACAGAGAGACAGAAAGCGAGAAATCACCCCCGAGGGGGGATGGCCACGCCACAATCCCTTCTCCTCCATTCTCCTCTCGGGATCTTGGGCACGCACGCACACGCACTCAGCATGAGTTTTCAGTCACCGGGTCCAGGATACAAACCATGGTCAACTACATGGGAGTCCAGAGACATAGCCATTACGCTAACTGCTGGTCCTAGTCCCATCTCTTCTTGCAGCTGAAGTGGTCCAGCTTGGGTGGCGTTGTGGGCTGTAACCAGGCCTGTGAGGCAGAGGCCCTAGGTGTCATCGGGCTGTGCCTCAGACATGCTACCAGGAATGTGGTCAAGCCTTGACCTCAGGCAGCTGTCTCCAGCTGGATGGGAACCTCCACTTCAGCCAGGCAGCCCCAGGGGCCACCAGGAGCTCCATGCACCGGGCCCTGGTGGCCACCAGGCTGCCACCCCTCCTGTCTGCCCTGCTCTTGTTCCTGTCCCCTAGCAGGCCCCGCAGGGTCAGGCCCTCCCAGCTCTCATTCCTTTGGCCATATCTTGGGATTTAGCAAGACCATGGCTCCGAGCTCGAAGGTGCTCACGTCTCTCCTTCCAAGGCCTAAGCTTAGATGTGGTGCCCTCCGAGGGGGAGGGTCTCAGCCCCAATTCCAGGGAGAGGCCAATGTGAAGAAATAAAAAACCTCTTGCCTGACCCTTACTTATCCCAGTGGGAAGACTCCAAAATCCTGCAAGGACACATTCTTCTGGGAAAATGTCTGGCCCCATCCACTTTCCCAAGACTCTCTTCCTAGTCTTTTATTTCGTTTTGCATTTTAAAGACTTCTCCTATGAGAGAGCAAGACACACACACAGGGAGGTCCCAGGAGACATACCCAGGACCTCCCCAAGAGGACCCAGCTGCATTACTGCTGTGTCACCCGCAGCCCCGCCCGGCCCTTAGCACTAAGAGCGGGTCTGGAGTCCTGGGTTTCCCTCTCTCCTGCAGAGATGCCACCCCTTGATCTCTTAGGATCTGAACCAGTCCCCTTTCCCCTCACCCCGACACGACACCGATACTTAATTCAATTACTCTTGAGCCCCACTCCTGCTGTGGACA